CTCAAAACCCATCAAACTGCTGCTGTTTGATGCTTTCTGATGAGGTAGTACATTTGGTAGGAGAAAGATCCTTCCTGTTTTTGACCACTGTGCCTCAGGCATGGTTTTCCAAACTAGTGTTTGCTGTTTCCCCATAATTTTTCCATATCTATATATCACCTGTATAGTGATTCTCTTCATTGCTTTTCATTTAAGTCCATTTACTTTTTTTAAAAAAATTAATAGGAAAGCTTTCAAACAAATGATATGTGGGTAGGTAATATCAGCTCCTAGAATAAGAAAATGAGAAAATAGATAGGGCAAGCACATAAGGCAAAATGTTGATAATCGTTGAATCTAAGCAGTGAGTATATGGGTGTTTATTATATTCCCCTAACTTTATCCATTTGAAATTTTTCATAATAAAGTTGGAAAAATTAAAGGAAACTTTATCACTATAAGTGAGAATTCAGATCCTCCGCCATGAATAAAAGATTACTGTGAAAATGAATATATTATAAACAAAATAACACATTTAAATTCTAGCTGGATTCTTTTTCCTGGTCAAGTCTCTAAGACTTTCTACTTAGGAAAAATTTAAAAGGAATTGCAAAGGGAAGCAGTATCTCCCTGGGAGATGCAAGCTGTTGGCCACCTTGCTGGATACACCTACACTGTTCCCCTGTGGGACCTGCCATGCTGAGGACCTGTTCTCACCTCTCAGGTGCTCCTGTCCCAGGATTAACGTGGAGCCTGGGCCATGATGCAGTTGGCTCCCACCCCAGCCATGGATGAGGTCACCTTTAGAAGTGACACTGTGCTGTCAGACGTCCACCTCTATACCCCGAACCACAGACACCTCATGGTGCGGCTGAACAGCGTGGGACAACCCGGTAAGGTCCTGGGCACGGGTGCCCAGCGGATCCCATTTTGCTTTCTGCTTTCTCATACTGATCTCTTTGGGGAAAATATTGGGAAGATTGTCTTGTTTCATTGTTATCCTCACACCACTTCTTAAGTGCCCTCCTTTCATTGAGCAAACTCCTGTGCCTTGCTGAGCACCTACTGTGTGCCAGGGATAGGACCTGATCCTGGGAACACACAGTTGGTGGAGCCAAGCTCTGTCCTCAGCAAGCCCAGGGACCAGCGTGTGGGCAGACAGCGCTGGGGCTCCAGCTGTCCACTGTTCTGCATCCCCTTCCCCTGTCTGGCCACCTCCGATTGCCTGCCTACTTGTGTCTTCTCCTCCTGGGACTCCCTGCTCCACACTCTCCGCAGCAGCCAAGGAGATCTTTTGGAAATGCACGTCAAATCACAGCACTCCCTACTGGGGACCTCCCATTACTTCCCCTTGCTCTCAGAATAACATCCAGATTTCCCACGTTGGCCTGCAGGACCCAGCCTGACACAGCCTCTGCCTGGGTGTCTCCCCTTACATCACCCTCCCTCACTGGTCTGTGGCCACTGTCACCTCCTCCCTGTCCCTCAGTCACTGCACTTGCTTTCTTCCCTCCCAGCCCCAGTTCCCCAAGTGTCATCTCAGACAAGCCCTGCCTGACCACCCTCCTGATTCCTATTACCCTGTATTAGCTCGTCATCCTGGTGTGATTATTAATGCTTCCAGTTTCCCTTCCATCCTAATTGGGATGATACATTTTACCAAGAGTCTATAAACTGTAGGCTGTGGGGTAAATCTGACCTGCAGCTTGTTTTGTAAATAAAATTGTATTAAGACGTGGCCTATGCCTGTTCATTTACATGTTCTTATGGCTGCTTCAGTGCTATAATGGCAGAGTTGAGGAGTTGCAACAGAGCTCAGGTGGCCCACAAAGCTTAAAATATTTACTCACTAACCTGTTGTAGAAGCAGTTTGCTGACCCCTGCATTATATGGTTGCCATGTCTGGCGCACAGAATACAGTTTTACTGTATTCATGGCAATTAGTACATGGTCCCTAATTATCTTGCTTGTGTAATGTTTGTTCCCCCTCTACCCCCCTAAAATGCAAGCCCCTAAGATGTCGAATTCTACTTTGTGTCCCCAGCACCTAGCACGGTACTCAGCACAGAGTCCACGTTCAGTGGTGTTTGTTAGATGGATGGATAGATGGGTGGATGGGTGGAGGAGTGAAGTGCTCCAAAAACTGGCATAAACCCAGGATGCTGTGGGCACCTAAAAGAGAGGCATTGACCCCAGCCTTGGAGAGGATGCCTGAGCTCAGTCCTAAAGGCTGAGAGGGATCTACCCAGACAGAAGCCAAGGAAAAGCACAGTAGGCAGAGGGAACAGCCTACGCAAAGGCCTAGAGGCAAGAGCTCTAGACAGGGTCTTCCTGTTGCGGCCCTGCCTGTGGCGTCACAGTTATGTTTTCCTTGGAGAAGGTGGAGAACAGTGAGCCCCACCTCATGGAATGTAAGGATGAAGGGAAGAGAAAGGATTAGAACAGGTGTCGAGTACC